TATTATAGCACAAGCTTTTTGGCGATGGAAAGTCGCATCAGTGTGCTCCGCGAACGAGCGACCCTGTTCAAACACCGCCTAGTATACGCTTGATCTTCAGGCCTGTATGTAAAAAAAGCACCCATGGTACAGGCAGTATCGAGAACTAACCGTTTCTAGTAAACCTAGAAGATCGCGTGTCTGTATATGTAATAAATTTATTGAGGTGATAAACTTCTGACCTTGTAACGGTCTCTATCACTAACCTTTAGGTAGCGGCTGTTTGTGGCTTTTAACCAGCCAACATTATATGGCTCTCAGTGGTCTCGGAGCTCGTGGTTCTGTTCCGTATCGATACAGTGACGAAGGTGGTGTCTCAGATAGTTAGCTGTCACGTTTCGAGCCTCCAGTTTACAATGGATGTTATTTTTCATGCCATACATTAGGTTCCTTGAAGCTTCCACCTACCTTCGTGGCAGTCACTCTTCGTTCGTCTAGAAGATGGAATGACTAAGACATTTTTCCTGCAATGTTTCCTACTCGGTGCACTTGGTGGCTCTCGGTCACAGTTCTTACATGCAGAAATGTAATGAAAGCGTCCTGTTAAGCAGATTTGTTATAAAAGGATGAAGAACCTCATCTGTTTTCATTATCCACTCCTCATTATGCAGCTGATTCAAGGTTCACGACAGTGCTCCAACGCTTAAAAACAGGCAAGGGAGCATATATTACACTGGAACAACGAAGTTGAATCTCAAGAACTTTTTGATGTTTTGAAAACAACAGATTCATGCATACCTACACTGGTCGGTGAGAATCGCTTAGAAGAAAGACACTAGTACAACGTCTTGTTCATTCTACTGTCCCTATACATTTCGTTGCGATTTGTTTAAAATTTATTCGTAATTGCTGGTTCATTGCATGGTTTTTTCAGTTTTATCGTATCCGTTTTTCACCTGTATTTTATAACAGAAATGCAAGACAGCCAGGAATATTTGGAACAACTTTCAGGGAAAGTGGCCGTCGTAGAGGCTAGGCTTAGCGCTGTAATGGGAATGGTAAGTGGTGAATAATGTTTCGTTTTCTTGTTTTTCTCTTGCAGGATTATTGGTCACGGGACGCATCTTTTAGCGATCCGTGCGATGCAGTTAGATCTGAAACGACGGAAGAGAGCGATCGACCCAAAATGACGGTTTTGCTTAAACGGGCAGATGGTCATGTTCTTCGTAAGTTCTTGCAGATGTCGTAACATTATTCTCAAAATTCATTGCTTCCACAAGTTGGTACAGCCAACACGCAGACTGATGCGCACACCAAGTGGAATAACTCTTCACACTGAGGATTATTCCTTTTCGATAATTTGCAAGTACCGATTTATGTAAATTTTCCATTTGGCTTGCTTCTTGCCTACTGTGGATTCATGTAACCTTGAAACGTACGAACGATTAAAATTACCTAAACGAACAAAATAAGTTGTTTCCTTCTATAGTGCCATTATTCTGCAGAACTATAACTTACAAAATTCAGCAGACAACTATAACTCCTCTTAAAATCAGCTGTAAAGAAGTTTGAGAGCAGAGTCAGATATGCACAAAACTTAACTTCAGAAAATTCGGTCCGGTGAATATCCATTGACGTTGACTGCACTCTTTGACAGTGTTGATGCGGGGTCCCTAATGGATAATATTCTCCATCGTGTGATGGGCATCACTAAGGTGGAATCGAGGAGCGGATCAAGTTTCATCGGAGGATCTTCATTCTGAATTTCAAGTGGTTCTTGAAAGCGGTATCCGGAAAGTTCACCGACAACAATTCATCGGCTGGAAAATTTACCGACCCGCAATTCGTCGAAAGGAAAATTCACCGATTTTACAACTGATCGCCGATGATTTATTTATGATGATCATTAAACAGTATTATTTAGAAATAAAATATTTGAAAGATTATGTTAATGAGCAGAATAATTACCATAATATTACCTATTCACACAAAAACAAATTTTATCTAGTGTATTTCTTTAGAAATAGCATATTTGAAAGATTGGTTAATGAGCACAATAATTACCATGCTTAGCCCTCATGTAAAGTCTCAGAAAATTCAAAAAGGTAGGTTTCAAAAGGTTCTTCGACTGTGATACTTCAGTAACGAATCGCCATTAACCGTAATGGCCCTTCAGTTCGTCACAAGTGAAAAGGGAAGACAGAAACTTTTAGTCACTTATTTTTCAAAGAGAAGCTGACAAGACATACTGGAAGTGTGAGATGTATCAGAAGCAAAAGTGCCGCGTTCGTGCAGTAACAGAGACACGAAGGGAGTTCACACCATATTGAGGGTGCAGATCATATAGAAGCTTTGAAGATGGAAGATGTTGTACGTAATCTGCAATAAATAGCCAAGAAGTACCCCAAAATATTATATCTAATGCGTCTGGGAAACTTAGCCAAGCTGCTGCAGGATATTTTGCGAAGACCGATAATATCAAAAAACGATAGGAAACGTCAGAATAAGGAAACAAGCAGCACCAGCTTTGCCTATGGCCTGAGAGGAAACTATGTTTAACGAGGAATACAAGATATCTAAAGAAGGTGAACCGTTCTTGCAGTTTGATTCAGGACCGACGGAAGATAGATTTGTTATATTTTCCACCACAACAAATCTCCTTTTACTGGCCTCATCTGAACATTGGTTTGCGGACGGAACTTTTAAAACAGTGCATTGTTCTTTTGACCAACTTTACATATATCATGATATTCAGGTGAACAGTTCAGTTTCGCTTTTATGTGCTCTACTACCAGACAAGATAGAGGCCACATATGTTAGTTGTTGCAACAAGTAAAACAGCTTCAACCTGATGCCTCCCCAGAAACAATTATGACCGATTTCGAACCTGCCATAGTCAGTGCTATTCGTAAAGAATTTCCAAGGGTTAGACATCAAGGATGTTTCTTCCATTTCTCGCAGTGTATATTCTGATGGATTCAGGCAGAAAATCTTCAAAGAAGGTGCGAAACTGACGTCGAATTTACAGTGAAAATGCGACTTTTGTCTGCGTTGGCCTCTGTCCCAAGATAGAATGTGGTAGAAGCATTTGAGGTTCTTACGGGAGCGGTGATAACATGCCTGAAGAAACGCAAGGCGTGATTGATTATTTCCAGGGCTGCTGGATTGGACGTCCTAAGCGACGCATGGAACGCGAATGCCCTGCTTCTTTCTAGAAATGTGGAACTGTCACGGAGTAAGACACCGTCTTCTAAAGAAAAATAATTCAATTGAAGGGCGACATCGTGGATTCGAAATGCAAATATCTGCGCAACACGCTAATATCTGAAGGTTTATTGAAACGATTCAGCGTGAGCAGGGCATCAGAACATAACAAATAGAACAGTATGTGAGTGGCTAACAAGGTAGCCCTGCGATGGAGATCCCTAATCTAGGGATGCGATGAAAGACTTTTCAGAGTAGATGAAAATTATGACAGAAGTAATGTTTTAAAGTTTTTTGGAGGTGTAGCGCGTAATACAAATCACTAATTAGGTATTGCAGTAACAACATATTTGTACGCATGTAAATAATGTTTCAAATTTTTTTAGTTAAATGGTTTTAGTGATATCTGTGTTTTATTCGAAATTTACAGGTACTTACGTCATTATCATTTTCAGGCAAGTTAATTCAAAATCAGCACGTTTCAATTTTTTGAAATATTGACAATACTTTATGATATGAAATGAATTAAGTTTTCTACGTTTTATGGTTTTTAATAAATAAATCATCGGTGATCTATTGTAAAATCGGTGAATTTTCCTTTCGATGAATTGCTGATCGGTAAATTGCAGTCGGTGAACTTTCCTAGATCCCTTGAAAGCACGTATTTCTTTTCATTCAAAGTTCTAATTTCAGTGGCAGGTCTGGGGTTCTTGTAGGATCTCCGATTAGTGCGGCGCTCACAGATCTACATTTAGATCGTCTAGTGAAGTCCATGCTGCAAAAGGTACCTGACTGCATTATAACCGTATATAAATTTTACCTTAGCTGAAGTAGTTAAAATTTTCCTTTACCTGCGCAATTTCAGAAATTTCATTACGATCTTTGATTATTTCAGAGGGGTCAGCTTTCAAAGAAAAAGAGATACTGGCCAAGCGGGCTCTTTGGACATCTCGGTTAAGAACAACCAAGTTAAAATCTCAAAGCCGTTTAATTTTGCAGTTTATCGAAATCATCGCCTTTCTAACACAGGTTCTTATGTCCAGTTTTGCCCATCAAAATTTATTTGTAAACATATTTTAAACAACAAAATACAGATTTTTTGGATTTATAGACTGGTTCTCCTTATCTAGCAACGATTGAACATCTACAAAATTTCTGACATGGAAACAGCTACAATGAAGAAAGTATGAAAGACGTTTATCAGAGCCCATTCTTAGTGTTAAAAATAAGTCCAACAATAAAAGTAACCACACTCGTTAGTGTAGTCACCTCCTTTATTGCCAGATTCTAAGAGATCAAGCAGTACTTGGAAAATCGGTGTTCGAATCTGCTCTAAAATGGACCGTTTATTCGTATCGCAGATTTATCGGTAACTTCCTCAAGCAGAGTTTTCCAAAGGGATGAACGTGATGTGTTAAGGTGAT